ACAGCTCATGGTGGTAAATTAGCCGCAAAGGAAAAATGGAATGGGTGCAAGTGCCAGCCAAGCTGCAGAGACAAAAAGCTCCAAGAAAGGAAGGAAAGGAAAGAGAAAGCTTAGGGTGCAATCCTATGCAAGTTTAGACAGAAGAAAGGCCTACAACTCCCAGGATGCCCCAGGCAAAACGATCCACTGACCTGCTGCAACCCTTTCTTGCCCAAGGCTCCAGGCAAGTGTGTCGACATTTTGAGAGTGAACAAAGCACTAGCATCCATTCAGATTTCAGACAGGTTGTTGTCACACATGCTACCTCTGTTGCAAAAACATGCTGTCATCCTGGTTGTTCATTTAAAGAACTCTATGTGGCAGATCATGGCATCCAGTCCTCTCACTTCCTGGCAAATAGATGGAGAAGAAATGGAGGTAGTGACAGATTTTATTTTCCTGGGCTCCAAGATCACTGCAGATGGGGACTGCAGCCAAGAAATTAAATGACGCTTGCTCCTGGGGAGGAAAGCTATGGCAAATCTAGACACCATACTAAAAAGGAGAGACATCACCCTGCCAACAAAAGTGCGTAAAGTCAAGGCTATCGTTTTTCCAGTTGCAATGTATGGCTGTGAAAGCTAGACCATAAGGAAGGCTGAGCGCCAAAGAACTGAGGCCTTTGAATTGTGGTGCTGGCGGAGACTCCTGCGAGTCCCTTAGACCACAAGGCGATCAAACTGATCAGTCCTAGAGGAGATCAACCCTGACTGTTCTTTAGAAGGCCAGATCCTGAAGATGAAACTCAAATACTTTGGCCACCTCATGAGAAGGAAGGACTCCCTGGAGAAGAGTCTAATGCTGGGAACAATAGATGGCAAAAGAAGGGGGCGGCAGAGGATGAGGTGGCTGAATGGAGTCACTGAAGCAGTTGGTGTGAGCTTAGGTGGACTCCAGGGGATGGTGGAGGACAGGAAGGCCTGGAGGAATGTTGTCCATGGGGTCATGATGGGTCGGACACGACTTCGCGACTAACAACAACAACAAATGTGGCAGTCATTCCTTTTACACATGGAAGAACAAACACTGAGGGTACTTCAATTCATTGGCATAGATGGAGATTAGAACCCAATGGTTGAGATCTGATATTCTGTCTCCTGGACCATTCAAGCCTCACCCTCTCATGATCAGGATTAAACCTAAGCTGTCTGCTAGCCAATTGTCACTTTGATCTGTATGTACTGATGTTCTGCATGTTGAAGTAGCTCTCAGATCACCCAATCCTTGGCCAATCCAAGAATTCCAGATGTTTAAATGCTCTCATTGTCCTGGAATGGCTTGACCAGGTAACTCATATAATCTCTCAGGGAGGAGGATGAGAGTATATTTTCTACAGGTGGGGGTCATGAAGGCATATCAGTATGACTTCAGCATATACATTTGTGTATCCATTTCAGCACTGCAATGCAGTCTTGGAGTAACAACCGGGCTATTGTCCTACAGGCCTGTCTCCATATGAATCATTTCTGCAGTTAGCCTGGAAAGAAAAACTACCACAATGAGACGCATTATGAAACGGAGATAGGGAAAAATGAGGACTAGAAGCTTGATGTTCATGCTGAGTACAACACAAAGTCAAAGGCAGAAAGTGAAAGGGTTAGTATGATCATACAACAGGCCGCAAAGATGACTTTAGCAAGCATTTTTCAGAACGTGTTGCCTAAGGCAAGAGCAAGGCTAACAAAGGAGAGGTCACAGCAGAGCTGACAAGGTCACAAAGAAGAATTTTAGCTGTAGGTAAAAGCAACATCAGACAGAGCCCATTTCATGAAGTGGCAAGTGCAGTGATTTTGTAATAACTGGCACAGAAAGTGAATTATCCTAGTGTAGCAGGGCTTTAATGTGTAAAAACGTAACATCAGAATTGATCCAGGGTTAAAAGGTTTTGAAGCCACATCAGAATGACTGTTTCAGACTTCCTGTATTATTACACGTCTCTCTCCTGACACACTCAAGCACAGCAAAAACTGCTCTGTTGCAGCTCAGAACTCAGCCAAACACCTTCTGCAAAGGCATTTGACAGAAGCTCCTGCAAGCTATTTCAGAACATTTCCACAGCAATCCGGCCTACAGAATATAAAAACAAGTCAAATCACAGATGTTCTCCAATGGAAAAGATGATTAGATTTGCTATCGTGACCCATTGGCCAACATCGTTCTACCCCCATAATTACAAATCCTGCAGCCCTGAAGTTTTTAATTGCATTTGTACTACAGAGACGCAATTTCATATACCACAAGGAGTTGCAAGAAGGACGGAATCTCTCCAAAACGATTCTGTGCGAAGTTATCTGCTGTCTAAGCTTTCCCGGGTCATTAATATTTCACTTTCATATAGCCCAGAACTGGTTTTGGAACATGTTTTCTTTTTATCCCCTTTTTAAATATAAGGAAGAGGAAATGTTTGAAGTAACTACTAGTAAAACCTTCGCTGATCTGTCTCTCTTCCCCCGTCCTCCCACCTCCTCAGCCTCTTGAGGATTTTAACACTTCAAGTACAACATATACCAGAAAAGAGGGAGTGGGGGAGACTAGTCTAGCTTGAATCACCTCTGAAAAGGGAAGGGTTTCCAATTGTTTTGTAGTCACATTCTGCTGTGAAAATGACAAAAAAGAAAATCGAGGAAAATAAGTGCGATTAGTGCATGCTGTCAGGCGGAAAGGGGAAGCGTAGTAAATACAGCAGACTCTCCAATTTACAAACACTTCATGAGTGGAGGCGGTTGGTGAGCCTGAAATTTTGGCAGTTCCAGGATCTCTCCCCCTTCCAGTCCTTCCTTTCACATCCTTTGACAGCTTGCAATGTCAACTGGGGTCCTTAGTGCACTCATTCCCATTTCTCAGGGCAAAGGCATGTACTGCCTCCCAAGCTGCAGTCTTTTTAGCCCTTTCTGCTGTGCCCTGTTGGGAAGACTGGAAGCAGGTTGGAATATTTGTCCCCATAGTCCAAGCCCAACAGCGGTTTTCTGGATTCTCACACAGAGGGCCTCACCTACATCTGGTACTACCAGGTTTTTTAAAACCGGGGGTGCTTGGAATTGAAGTGGAGACCTTCCATATGCAAAACATGTGCTTTATGAGCGAGCTGCAGTCCCTCCCTTCCCTTGCTCCAAGATGCTTTCTGACCAACTGAACAACACCCCCACATTGCCTGATTCACTCAGGGGCTGATATGGCAACAGTTGCTGAATACTGAGCAGGAGAGTAATACAGGGAAGGCAAATTTGATAGATTAGTCATTTCGAATCTGCAGGCTTCCTATCTCTGAGTTTCCAGCACAGTGAAATCCGTTCCACAAAAGTGTACAGTGGAATTTAACCCTCCTGCGAGAAAAGAAAAATGATTCCCTCAACTAATCGGCATAATCTCTCTCCAGATGTTGTTGGGAAACTACAATAACCGAAAGAGCAAAACCCTTGTGGTTCTTCATAAAATGATGCCTTATGAAAAACCACCAGATCCTTATGAGCTTTCACCATCCCCTCCCTTGCAGATGATTGTATATACAATCATCCCATCTCCCCAACATTTGCTTCCTCTCACACTTCACAAAAAAGGCGCAGGTAAGCGTCATAGTTCAGAGTGTGTAAATGAGCCATCCAGGAACAACTGCGTCATCATCCATCGACACCATCCTCCCATTCAAATATTTTCTAGGAACTCCTTTCTCTGTACCAGTCCAGTAGCCCTAAGCATGCTTCATCTTAAAATACATAAATAAAGCAGATTTTTTTAAGGAAATAGGCAAACAGAAGCCACTACTCTCAAGCACCACTCAAACCGCCACGAGTCCTACCTATGCTGCAAACAGGTGCCTGACTTCTCTATGCCACCTTGGACATTTCCATGAAGCACTCTTGCCCGACTTTTTTGGCCCATTGTAGCTTTCCGGGTGCAAAACTCTGCTGACCTTTGTCTGCAGTGCAAGCCCTAGCAAACGATCAGAAACAAATCGTGTTTGATCCACACTGCCCCACACCCCCAGCTGTCTTATGGGCCCCCAACCACCTCTGTTCAGGCAGCAGTCCTTCGGCAAATGGGTCAGGGTTAGGGGTGGAGAGGCGGCGGCAGGGAGGAAGCTGACAGGGGAGCTGCCATGTGGCATGGCCGGAGGGTCCACATGGCTTTCACACTCGCCCAGCTGCTGCGTCTCCTCCCGCTGCGGAGGAGGGAAGCGCCCTGGCGGAGCAGGCAGCCTCTCTGCTTGCCAAAGTCCAGGTCCAATTAAGGCTTTGCACCTTGCGCGCCCAGGCACACGCCCCTGCCCAAAAGGCAGCCACGACGCGATGCGCCCTCGCCTCTCTGAGCTTGGCTCGGGCAGATCCCAGGGATCACGCTTTTGCCTCGCGCACAAGGAGGAGGAGGAGGAGGAAGAGGAGGGCAATGCGGCTCTTTCCAACGCCTTCCTCCCCTGCAGCCGCGGCTGGACTCAGTGCAATAAACACACCGGCTCCGGCTTCTCTCCTTCTCCTCCTCCAGCGTCCTTCCTCCCAATCAGCTGCCACTACCGGCTGCCCAGCGCCGGATCTACCTGCAGCACCCGAAGCCAGCTCGGAACGCACCAGCCCTGTGCGCCACGCCACTTGCCGGGCCACCGCTCTCGTCCCCGATCCCGGGCACTTTCGGCTCCCTCTCCGGCACCCACCCTGGCGATGCGCCCACCCAGCCAAGGCGAACGCTGCGAGCCCAACTACCGCATGCATGGCAAACCCTGGCCAAAGGAACAGCCCCTGCAACAAAAATCCTCCCAAATCGCCCCCAAGCCCCGCAACCAACACCCCCCACTGCGTTGGCATCCGAGACAAGAAGCGCAGCGCACGACCCGTGTCCCTCCCTCGCTCCCGTCCACCACTTCCTAAAATCCTGGAATTCCCCTCCCTCCCCCCGCCCACGCGCGTGCCGAGCGCGGCTGAGCCGGCCACGAGTCGGGGGCGCAGGGAGGTCAGGTGCGTGCGACTTACCTGCCGGGAGCCTCGGGGGTCTTGCCGCTGAGTGCCTGCTTCCTGGGCAGGTGCGGGAGGCTGCTGGGGACGGGATGGGGAAGGCGCGAGTCGCTCTTGCGTGGGGGGCCCTCGCCACCAAAACTCCCTCTTCGGCTGGTCGCTTTGCTCCTTTTAATTTTCCCATATGAACGCGCACTCACACATACGAGGGAGAGGGAGAAGGAGAAGGGAAAACGCAAAAAAACACCCCCGCCCCAGTCCAGGGCTCAGAGCAGCGATTAATCCACCAAGGGCCAGCAGAGGCAGCGCGAAGGCTCTGCAGCGGCAACCGCCGGCGCTTCCCAGGCACTCATGTTGCCGCCGTGTCAAGAAAAAGAGTGCAGAAGTGTAGCGGCGGCGGCGGCGGCGGCGGCGGCGGGCGGGTTGGCAGCCGGCGCTGTTTGTGGCAAGGAGACGAGGAGAGGAGAAGCTGGGGAGGGGCCAAACGGGAGGAGCCTGCGCTGCGTCCGCGCGCGTGTGTCTGTGTGTGTGTCGTGTGTGTGTGTGTGTGTGTGTGTGTGTGTGCGCGCGCGCGTGTGCGTGTGTGTGTGCATGCGCTGGGTTGCTGCGTGTCTGTGGCCGTGCGGTGCCACCTCGCAGCCGAGCGCATCGGGAGGGGAGAGGCGTTGCAAGCCGACGCAAGATCAGGCTCTAAGAAGGGGATTGACACGAAGGATTTCAGAAGCCTCACCTTTCTGAGCTCTGAGTCAGCAGAGAGCGAAACAGGTTTATTTATGTTCCTTCCTCTGGCTCTCCTCTCCCCTCCTCCTTTCCTTCCTAAGACGCAGTGACTTTAGCAGAAGCTGCAACTACTGGGGAAGACGACGTGGAGGGTTCTGGCTTCCGCAGTGAGTTTCCTTGACATCCCACCCATCTCGGTGGGCTTAGGACTAGTAGTGACGACAACCCCGGGACCAAATCAGCAGCGCCTTGGTGGAAACAGCTACGGTTTGTGTTGTGCTCACGCGCGTGTGCTTTCTCTCTCCCTCGCTGTTGCTTTGCACCTTTGCCTTTGGGTAAAAGCCTGAAGCTCTGAAAGGTCTAAGAGTGAAGGTTTGGGGATGGAGGCGACCGGCATCCCTTTGGTACCCTCTGTATGGATTGGACTTACCAATTCGCTTATCAGATTAGGTCCCTCCTTAATGCACTTGCATCACCTTCCCAGCCTGGGTGGCTCGAAAGGTGCAGCTGTCTCAGCATGTAGCTGCAAATGCGTGGGAAAACATATTTCTAATCTACAGTAGGGGTTATGAGCAAAGAGGCAGGAGATGGCCCTTGTTCCAGGGCAACTAATCAGGAATAAAAGGATGTGATTTTGCATGTGAGCAGGGAAACCAGTCTGCTGCCAGATCAAGCTGGCATAAAACACTGTGATTGGCATGTGTCCTTGGTACTCATAGTCAAGGTCACACTGAAGGCCTATTTTTGCACACACAGTGGCAACATGCACATTTGTAGGTTGCAGCCTTAAATTGGTTTAAGGAAGAAAGTCCCTCTGAACCTGTTGAGGTGGATGTACAGAAAGGAACTACAGTCTGTTACTACTACTACTACTGTAGTAGTAAAGCTGGGAACTACAGTCGGAAGAGTTGTACAGGTTCAACTGATCCAGGCTTTAAAACGATGATTGTCCCTGCTTGATGTCCTTCTGTTTTTTGCATGGGAGAAAGTCTCAAAACTGGGGTTGGAAGAGGGAGGAAGGAAATGGTCCGTTCCACCGCCTCTCTCCAGCATCTGTGAATGAAACAGGTGTTTGTTTTTCTAGGCTGTGGAAGAGAAAGAGAAATCATTGCCTATGTGTGACCTCTGGATATTCCAACCATGTTGTTTTTTCTCTAGGGGGTTCTGTATGTGTACATAACTGAGGAGACAGAAGTGGCAGTGCTCTGTTTGCCTTAAGCCTCCTTAACCAGGAAGCAACCAAAGGCAAGCTAAACTGGTGCCAAGAAAAAGTCCACTGATTCAGTCTTTTAATTCATTAAAATCCCTTGCATGTTTAGATGGAAGAAATCTCTAAAGGCCCCTGGAACCTTTTTTCCTGTATAAACATGCACAGGATTGCTTCCAGCTTGCGCATCAGAAAAAGCATCATTCATCCCATTAAGGACTACCAGATGGCTAATAAGGCAAGGGTGGGTAGTTTCTAAATTTTACAGGCTAAGCAAAATGTGATGTGGAACATCCATGGTCAGATCTCCCAGTGTCCTTTTCTTTGTCTAACAGCTACTATGAGAGAGTGAATTGAGTTGAGGTTGGAGTTAACATTCACCCTTACACTATTCCACTGTTTAAAATTTCTCTTCTCCACCCCAACCTTGCCTGAAACTGTATTAGCCAGAGGGAGAAAGGACGGGTAAATCATTGTACCTGAGAAGAAAAGGATTTCAGTCTAGAAATTAGCACAAAGGAAAAGAAAGGACACCCCTCAGCCACATTCTGGATCAGAAATGTCCCCATCAGTGTTGTGGCTTGATCCAAAATCCCCTCTAGCACTTTTACTTTCAGAAGGGGGAAATGTTTGTACTGCACTTGTCCTATTTAGCAGGTTTAGGGGAGGCAGAAGTCATGGAAACAATGGGCCAGTCCACACATAGCTGTGGGTGATATTTAACAACAGGGTTTGTTGTCGTGGTGGCTTCAGTGCAGTGAGGACACACTGTCACTTTTCATTATATGCAGACATGGTGAGGGGGGTTGTCCGGATGGTTAACAGGAAACCTGCATCCTTCACACTTGGGTTCTGAATAGAATGTGCCAGTCATGGCCCAGTGCAAATTCTCTTCCCTAGCAGTTTTTATCAGATGAAGAAGGTACATATAATTTGGCCTTCCAGTGCCTTTACACTGGCCAGACAGTGGCCTAATGTAGAGGTGGAATGAAAGTTGATTCCTAGGTGTTTGGAACACCCAGCTTTCCTGCCCATTGGCCACGCTGGCAGCAGCTTCTGGGAGTTGAAGTCCAAAACATCTAGAGATCTACTTTCCACTTAGCCCAAGTGCACAGAACAGGAGGGTATTTTGCTGCTGAGTCCAACCTCCTCACAGTAACAAAGGTTGCTTCCTTATGTTAAATCAGGGTACTGGTATTGACCCCACTGGATAGCATCCTCCAGGAAATTCTCCTGGCCTACCTGAATATTCCAGGAACCTAACCAAAGAGCTTTTCCATCAGAGCATGTTCTCTAGGAGCAAGCTGCACTCACTTCCTGCTGTTCCAACAGTGTAATCAAATTGGGGCCATTGAGAAAAGTCAAGGCTTTATGCCATGGTAATGAATCATATGCAGTTGACATGGGTGATGGTCTCCTAATTTGGACTGCCATGTCAAATCTCTCTCTCTCTTACAACTCTTGTGAACAATGTTCTTTTTCTTATGAGCAAACTTGATTAAAATGTGGTGTGACTGGCCTGACCAAGGTAAAAACATTCTCTGGGTGGATCTGGTCTAGCAACTTCCAACTGTTCATCTAGCAGACCAGAATAGAAGTCTTTCATTTAGAACTGAAACTGAAATAGTTTGCTTAGAAAATCACAGCAGATCAGTTTCCCTTTGTTGCGGAATTTTGGTCTGTGGTTGCTAAATGGAGAAGAAGAAAGAAACATGCCCAGCACAGCCTGAAAGAGAACGAGGCTGGGTCAGATCTAAGTTCCACCATGGCCTTTGGCTTAACTCCAAGCAAAGCTTAAATATGTGAAACTATATTTGCATGTCTCCTTCCCCAGATATCCCCATCTCTGCCTTACTTACCTCTATCTCTCATCTCTCCTGCTGTTCAAAGTTTGTAAGGGCCTTGTGAATATGGGGATGGGGGAGCATTCTTGGTGTTGTAAAGATTTGTGTCCCAGCCTTGACCTAGTTAGATTTCTGAGGGCTTTGGTGGAACTTAAGCACAGTGAAATAAATGCTGACCTACTTTACAAGGATGTTGTAAGGATTACAGATATAGGTAGCACTTTGAGAACTGACAACCCAATAGCACCCATGTTTACTCAGAAGTAATTTTCACGGAGTTCAGCAGAATTTGCTGCCAGGTAAGTCCATTTAGGAATGACCTGCGTAAGGAAAGTACTGCAAATACACAAACACTTGTCTCTTTTATTCCAAACTTGTACTAGTGCAAAGATCACTGCAACACTTTTGTATCTTTTGTTATTTTAGACCCACTTGATAACAACAGCAGTCTCTCGAGCCTAATTAATATATCACCTTTCTTATACTTTCTAGTATTCAAATGACTTTGCTGCCTATGTTTGTTTCATAAACTACAATGTATTGTTTCCAGCAAGCCAGGCCGATATTGACTGTTGAAGAGAGTTTAAAAAAACCCAATAACAAGTGTTTTGACAGAGCTGATGTCAAGGAGAAAGAATTTGGAATCTTGATTAATCATTATTTAATAGCATATTTTGTTTATCCCCATATCCCTTGCTTTTTGTATCACCTAGCCTGATAAAGATTTCTGGAAACTTGAAAGCTTGCACATATGTGGGGAATTTTGGTGGGTTCTAACAAAGGCATTGTTATCCTTCTCTGTGTTTTAAAATTTAAATATGATGTTGCAAATCCAAAATGGGGATCATTCATAAATTTGTCTTGTTTATCCCAGTTAGTCCAAATTCCAAGTAGTATGCTTGCAAATAGAACTCTTGCACCTACAAAAAAAGGAAGTTTTCTGTTTTTTTTAAGGGAGAAATGAAATTCGTTTGTGTACTTGGTTCTTAGTTTTGCTAGTTGTCAGATGAGTCTTTTTTTTTTTTTTTGCAGTCCTGAGTGAAATGAATCATGCCCAGCTCAGAACATACACACGCATGTATTTCTACTCTACTCAATAACTTACCACTGTGCATCACTCACAAAGCCTGATTATTCAGGGACTGCATGTTTAACTTTATGCATCTCGGTACCCCAGTGACTTCATTAACTTTACATTTGCATTGAAATTTTTGCTGGAGGGAGGGGTGTGTTTGTTCGCCTATTCTTTTGATCAGATCATAAACATAAGAGAGATTTAAATTTGGCAAAAGTGACATATTTTTTAAATCATGTGCATACTTTATTGTTGACAAACCAAGGCGATTCAAATGTATATTTGTATTTGCCTCCCAGCAAAATAATAGCAAAAGTATCCCAGCGGCAATGCTGATAGCCATCCTGTCGCTTTCCACCAAAGTGACCCACAGATTGATGTGCGTTTCCTACATTATTTTTTTGTACACAGTGACCTAATTCCCAGCAAGGTGCTAACTTAGGCACCTTTAATTTCACAGCAACTTGGATCCCACTTGTCCAGAGAGATGCTTGCACCCTTCAGGTTCAAAGGTGATATTCAGC